CACATACTGTCAAATTACTTTAGCAGATCTTTCTTGATTTTGTTTTTGAGGAAAATCTGAACATCTATAACATGTTGTAATTTTCCTTTATTATGCTCAAATAATTATTAATAAGTTTCCAAACTAAAACAGGCATGTGGTTGGGAGAATTTTAAGACAGTTTTCATGACTTTCAGCCCACTAATGTTACTGCCTTGATGCACCAGGAAGATAACTCAGGGAGCTCAGTCCCATCTCACAGTCTTTTAAAAAGTAGTTTTTAGGGGTTGGGATTTAGCTCAGTGGTTCCAGTGCCTGCCTTCCTTGCAAGCACAAGGACCTGAGTTCGATCCCCGGTACCAAATAAATAAATAAATAAATAGTAGTTTCTCTACAACTGATGGCCAGAATGGGAGTGAGAAGAACCCTGAGAAGGACTCGTGCAATGTGGCTGGTTTAAAGGTGAGTAAGTAGAGGACCATGAGAGAAAGGATGCAAGCAGGCTGGAGGGAGAAGCCCCAACTGATGGTCATGAGAAATGGACACCTATAGACTTACAGTTACAAGGAACTGGATTCTGCCACCAACCTAACTGACCTTGGAAAGAGATTCATCTCCAGAGCCACCGGTAAGAGCCCCACTGACACCATGGTAAGACACTGAGGAGAGAACCCTGGCAGAACCCACCCAGAATTCTGACTGTACAGATTTGTGAGACAATGAACAGCCACTGTGAGACAATGGTTTTGAAGCTACCCAGTTTGTGGTAACATGGTAACCTGTTAGGCAGCAATGGAAAACTAATACAGGCATTTAAACAGATGAATGATAAAAGCAAAGCCCTTTTATCATAATCTTTCTAACCATACCTTTAACATTAGAAAAAGCATATTTGGGAATAGTCCAATGAGTTTAACTTCCCTTTCTTTACTAATTATTTGCAGAGGCCTCTTTGCTCCATGGAAAGCCTGGGCCCTCAGCCAACAGGGGGTCCCTGGGCCTAGAAGTCAGAGCAAGATGCAGTGATGACCTATACTTAATGTCCAGAAAAGGGCATTACTCCAGGAATCAGAGTGATACCCCCTCATACCAGCAACCAAAGACTTGCCAACACCAGGTAAGTATTCCCTGGGGGCTTTGGATGCACCCTAGACTACTGTGTTCCTGGGCTCCCTCCCTGGTACACTAGCAGATGGCTCAAGTACACCCATGCTCAGTGGCATGACATTGGCCCAACCAGCTCTACTCCCCATCACCTGAACCTATCAGAGCTTATGGGGTCTTCTGAAATCAATAGTCCACCTTTGCATTGTAACACATTTAATTCTTCATGTTTCTTCCCTACAGTGGCCAAAGGTAGCCAGAAGGCTGGCTAAAAATAGATTAAATCACAAAAGGCCCTGGAGCTCCTCCATTCACACCCTCTGGTGCCAATAATAATAATCAAAGCCACCTCTTCTTGAAAGCTTAGTTTACACAAAGTCTGATGATAAGTAATTTACACTCATATTCTTAATCATTATCTTACTGTTTCTGGCTTACAGAAGAGAAAACTGAAGCTCAGAGAAGTTGAGTAGCTGCTATTTACTGAATGTTTGTTTTCCTCTAAAATTCATATGTTGAAATCCTAATTCCCCAGGGCATTGGGGATGGGGACTTTGGGACGTACTAGGTCCAGAGGATGGAGCCTTCATGATGGGATTAGTATCCTTCTAAAAAGAGACAAGAGAGAGCTTGCTTCCTCTTTTTCTCCACCAAGTGAGAATACAGCAAAAGAGTATCCTCCTACAAATCAGAGAAACATCTTTATCATTAGTCAAGTTGGCTGGCATCTAGATTGTGGATTTCCCAGACTCTAACACTGTAATAATTTTCTGTTGTTTAAAAACTCAGTCTATGGTATTTTTGTTATAGCAATCTGAGTTAAGTCAGTAATTTACCCAAAGAAACATTGTTAAGTAAGTGGCAGAGCCAAGATTCTGACCCACTCTTTTAATCACTGCTTTGAGTGGCCAATGGGAAAGTGTGTATGAGGCAACAGAACATAGGAAGTGGTTCTCAATCCTGGCTGCATGTTAGAACCCTCCAAGGCACTCTTTAAAATCCTAATACTTGGGCCTTAACTCCAGAGATTCTGATTTTATTGGTCCTATGGCTACTCAGCCCTCAGTAGTTTAAAATCCTCCACAGGTAATCTTAATGTGCAGGGCAATGGGTCTCCAGTATTGCCATGTATAGGAACTTTCTTATGTGTGCAGATTTCCGGGCCCTATCCTGTTAGATCCTATTTCAGTTGTGTTGAGGAAGCCCAGGAATTATCATATTTAACATGCACTCCAATTCTGTGCTTCTGAAAACTTGTTCAAATGAAAATTCTGATTCTACATCTCTGGGGTGGAGCCCTAGGTTCAGCATTTCAAACAAGTTTCCAAGTGATACATATACTGCTGGTCCAGGGGACACACTTTGAGTGGCAAGTGTACCCCAGTTTGGGAAGATCTGCCCTAGACCAGTATATTCTAAAGTATAGTCCTGGGACTGGCAACATTAGCTGAGTACTTGTTAGAAATGAAGTCAGGGGCCCAACCTCAGCCTGGTTGTATCACAAATTCCCTGTAGATTTAAGAAGCTCCCTGGGTGATACTGGTTAGAGTTTGAAGACCACTACCAGAGATAGAGAACACATCTTCTGGCACAGCAGCCCACAGCCAGCAGAGGGAGTGTCTGACACTCACCAACCTTTATTTCCTCGGGGGCCCTAAGACTGGTCAGTCCTAGCAGAAAGCAGACTAGGATCCTCCCAGCCACATCTGGAACCCAGCAGGAATTCTGTTTCCTGACAAGGTCAGGGGCAGCCACATTGGTATCATTATGTAAATATGCAAAAAGCAACATTCTTGAAGAATAGCCCTTGACTTTGTGATTTTAATGAGCTCTGGCTCAGACCTCTCTCCAGATGTCTATTTAAGGGTTCACCAACAGCTGCCAGGAAGATAAAAAAAAGTTGCTTATTTTCTCTCAACTTAATGCACAAATTTCTGGAGCCTAAACACTCATTTCTGGAAAGCTGTGGGATATCCCAGGCCCAAGGAAATGGGAAAGTTAGTATCTCTCTGAAAGGAGGGAGGTGGATTATCATTCTACACATGCATTCATTCCTTCATTCTTCCCTTAAATATGTTCAGAATGCCTGTCATATGCCATGCACTGTGGAGGGAAGAATGACAATATCATTTATTGCGCACCTCTACAATGTAGGTAATATTAATTCTCCAATTCTTCAGATTAATAAATAGGCTAAAAGAAATTGACACATGCCCAGGTCACATGATCGGCCAGCTGGGTTAGGGAGGAAGGCAGAGAGCAGGGCTGCATTGTTTGTGTTTCTGCAAAACTCAATTGAAGCACACTTGGTTAAAGATTCTAAGGAAATAGCTACTTGGGATGTGAAGAATTAACCAGGCTGTGTCTGGTAGGCTAGCCCACATTGATTCCATGTGCCTCTACCCTACGTGTCCATGCAGGCTTCAGGGGAACTAGAGAAAGACAAGCACCTGTGGGCTCTGAATGTCTTCCTCCTGGCACAATGGCCACTTGATTAAGCATTTCTATTTAATACTTACTACCTTTTCATTGGTTCCTACTGTCAGCACAGTTTTTGTCACTGGGGACAAGATGGGGGTGAGAAGAATAAGTCAGGAATGGAGAAGATGGCTTGAAATCACTGTCCAGGTCTCCGGATTGATAGGATCCCCTCTTCCTTCTCTGCTCTGAAGAGACTATCCTAATGACCTCACACCCACCCCAGAGGTCAGGGATCAGCATTTCTCCTCTTCAAGGTTAGGGTACCCTTTTCAGGGACACACATTTCTCCATCCTGGAGGCTGCTGGTTTGTAGAAGGGTGAGGTGGGGATTCCAGGTGATTATTTATTTATTTATATTTGCAGTAGTGGGGACCAATCCAGGGGCACTCTTTCACTGAGTTACTAGCTCTTTTTAATCTTTCAATTTGAGATGGGCTCTAGCTAAATTGTGGGCTGAGTTTGAACTTCAGATCCCCCTGCCTCAGCCTTCTGCCTCAGCCTCCAGAGTAGCTGAGATCACAGATACGCACCACTCCAACAGGCCAACAATTTCTGTTTTAAACAGGTAGCCCAGAAATTCTGTGCCTCTCTGAGCTGGAGCTCCCAGGCCCTGAAGACAGGAATGCTCATTTACAGATGAATGTGGAAGGAGCAAGAAGGAAAAAGAAAGGCTTTGGGCACCTTCTGTTTTCAAGGAGCACAGGCCCTGCCTGGAGGGCTCCCCACCTCCAAGCTCTTGGCTAGGAGGTCACACAAGGCTCACATTTAAAGCCTAGCTTCATGCCACAGAAGTTCTGCTATGGAAGTTCTTTAAAATCCAAACACCAACAAGAGGGACCAAACATGCAACAGGGGACAGCGCACTCAGAGGTCCCCTGATAGCTGAGGGATGACCTATTCACACAAAAGCAGTTCTGAGGTCGTGACACAGTTCCAGGTCTGTAAGAAGGGAGCACTAGGAGCCACACATCAACAGCCCCAGAAGGCAGCCAGTGAGAGCTGCGCTGGGCATAGGAGTTTGCTGTCTCCACTTCATCTCCTGCCAGATACATGCATTTTTCATTATCAGCGGTTTCCAGCCTGAGGCTCTTGCATTAAAAGGGAGTATGTCTCCAGCCAGCCTCCAGGGGCTTTGGGGATTCAAATGAGCTCAGTTCATCTCCTCACTACTCCCCAAACCGCTAGCTTCTGTATCCTAACATGAGCCCAGGAGCTTTGAGCATTCCCTTGCCTTTTTCCTAACAGAAAATTGAAAGTGAAGGTCATTTTCTGGGTGAAGGATAAGCGGGTGGGCCTAATGGGTAAAGCAGGAGCACAGCTGGATGGCCGCATGGTCCTGGGGAAATGGGATGGAGCCGGGATTCATGTGGATCAGGTAGCAGAGGAAACAAAAAGGAACTGAATTCAGAGGACCCCCAGGTGTGACACTTCCTTACCGGCCTGTAGGCGCAGCGGGTCTCGGGGCTTTCAGAACAGCAGGCCGCTAGGTTGAGAGCTGAGGCGAGCACAGCCAGGTGGGGCTCCCGGACCTGAGCAAAGGCGCAGGTGACGTTATCAGGGCCAGGAGACGTGGATGGCGAGCGAGGGCGCTGCGCCGTGGACCCGGCCCGGCCCGCCACGCACTAACCCCGCGCGGTCTCCTCCTCCCTGGGTTGCAGAGGTTCGCGGCACCAAGGAAGACGCCTCCACCAACGGAGTCTTTCCCAAGCCCCTCCCCCCCCCGCAGGCAAGTATCTAACGCCCTGGGGATAGGCAAGTTCAGAGTCACAACCCCAGGGCAGGAACTGAATAAGAAAACACATGGGCGCGTCCCTGTGCCTTATTCCATTTAACTCGGCAAATACTCTATCTGGCCCACAATGTGCCCCATGCTGGGGATACCCTGAGGGTAGAAGGTGCCGGTCCTAAGGCGTCTTACATTCTAGAGGGAAGCCCCACTTGAAACAAAAAGGAATCACATAAAATGTCTGGAGATTGTGCAAACTACTAGGAAGGAAAGAAGTAAGGGGTGGAGGGAGGGTGAGAGAGAAAATGTACTTTTAGCGTCCCGTGCTTGGACAGCACAGGCACAGGCCAGGGGGAAGGAACCTGGGGCTTCCGCGGAGTTACAGGAAGATCCCCCCGCTGCAGTCAAGTACAGAGGGAAAGGGTCTTACTAGCTGCGCTCACCAAGCAAGTCCTCGTGGATGGCGCTGTACGCAAAGAAAATAGTCTGTAAGGACAAAATAAGGTGGTAGTTACTGTTATTAAAGTTGGGGGTGTTGCTGAAACGTGACATCCATAATCCACACGCGGCCTGAAAGTCCGGGGCTCTGACCTCCAAGGTGTAGCTCCTGCTGCGCGCTGCCTCTGTTCGGTTCCGTTCCCAGGTGTCTGAACTCGGCCCAGGGCAATCAGCCCGCCCCATAGCACTCGCCCAACTCAGGCGAGGAGCGCACCCTCCGCCCTGCCTGTCAGGCCATCAAAGACACCCAAATTTGTTTAAGAGAATTTAAAAAGGACGAAGAGCGCCACCCAAGTCTCCAAAGTGAATGAGTGTATGGAAGTCGGGACACGTGAAAGTTGCGCAAAAGGGTCAGAAAGCACCCACGGGTCTCGAACCCCAGCGCAAGGTCTAGACGTAAGGAAAGTTCAGCGTGAGGAAGTAACCGCTTGAGCTAAAGCCGACCCGGGAAAAGCGTTGCTGCTGAAACTTCTAAACCCCAAAGGAGTGACGTGGCGGGGCCCAGCTGGCGGTTCCCCGCCCCGCGGGGCCTGCGTCAGCTCGTCAGTCCCTCCCGCCCGCGCTCGGCAACCAGCGAGCCCGGCCAGTCCGCGTCCCCCAGTCCCGGGCGCCACCTCGCGGAAGGGGTCGAGCCCCGGCGAGAGCGGAGAGGATAGCGTGGCCCAAGAGAAATTTCAGGATTTCAAAACCTCACAGCTCAATAAGAACGCCGTTCTGTCTGAAGTAGTGGGAATCCTTCCTCCCTTTGCCCACCCTACTTCCTTGTCTGTATTTCTTTCCGTGGAGAGGATTCAGGGACTTTATGGAGACTTTACCCACCCAGGTGTTAGCAAAGGAGGAAGGGCCTCAAGGATAATCAATAATTATGTCCCCATTTATGTAGCACACACCACGTGTCAAGCTCTGGTTTCAGAATTTACCTCGTTGAGTGGCTAGGACAACTCTGTGAGCTCGGTAACGTTGGCCCCATTTTGCAGACAAATAAACTGAGAATTGGTAAGGAACGGAAATGCTAGGAATTAGGAAAAGTGCTACAGAGAACCACAGTTTGAACTCTGAGGAAGCAGAAGAGTTACGTGGAGTGGTAGACTGCCTGTTGGCCTATCTTGCTTTAAAATAATTCAAAGGATCGCTGCACAGACGGACCTTCCAGTTTACCCCTGCTGGTTTCTCAGTTCCTAGCACAGCCTGATCCACAGTAGACATTAAATGGCATTTGCTAAGTGAGCTACTGAGTGGGGGAGTAGGGCAGCATTATTCTAGGAATTGTGCTGCCCCCAACTTTGGGGGTTTGAATCCCAGCTCCCCTCACTTCTAGCAGTGTGGCTTTAAGCCCATTTTTTCTCATGTTCATTTTGTGTTAAACAAAAACACACAGATGTAGTTTTTAAAAAATGATTACAGGCAATAAAATTCATCCTTGAGCTGTCTACCTCCCAATCTACACCACTCCCCAGAAGTAACTGGAATTTTTAAAAAGTGTGTAGCCTTCTTCTAGTCCTCTTTCTGTAATATAAAGGTAATATATATATATATATACACACACATGTATTTTGGGTATGGCTGCATTTTGTTTGATATGATGGAACTACACTGTACACATCATTCTGTGTGGGAAATTCCCCAGCACGTCTGGGCGATCTTCCTACAACATCATCGGGAGGTCTCTCAGCATTTATGAAGGCCCCCAAGACCACAGGAACCGTGATTTTTTTTTTTTTTTTTTTGCTACCGGGGACTGAACTCTGGACCTTGCACTTGCAAAGCAGGTGGCGGAACCACTGAGCTAAATCCCTGGCTCTGCTTTTTTTTTTTTTTTTTTTACTGTTTCACAACTAGTACTTCAAAGAACACTTTTGAATGGGCCTCTTCATGAACATGGGTGAATGTTTCTGGAGGATAAATTTCCAGAAATAGGATTGCTGGGGCTGAATAGAATATATGTTGAAATATGTAGCTGCCAAGTTGTCATCCCCAAATAGCTATTAATGCTAAAATACGGTATCTTGTTCTGGCCAGGCACATAGTCGGCACTGTAAACAATTATAGAAAGAAGTGTCAACGATTATTTCCCTGCTGTCCAGGTCCACCCCGGCCCCCACTGTCTGATCAAGTCTTGGCTTTGGAGGAACCTGCTTTTGGGAAGAACTGACCAGCGGAAATGGAGGACCTCGGCTGCATCCCAGGTGCTCCCCCTGGTGGGCAAATGTCCCTGGACAGTAAAGAAATCCCCCAGATTTGTAAACCCCAAACAAGATCACAACCTTCCCTCCTCAAAATCTTTCATTCTTACTCTCCAACCCAGAGACACTGTTGGTTGGCTGATCTGGTGGCTACCTTACCTTTATGACAGTCCCTGGACTCCCTCTGCCCCGCTGTAACGCCACTGCCTTCTCTGGTTCCTCAAGCACGTCATTTCCAGCTCCTTTCTTCCTCAGAGATCTCTTCAGCTTTGAACCTCTTCTTTTGTTTTTAGCAGTAGCACTGAGGATCGAACTCACCCATGCTAGGCAAGTAGTCTACTGCTGGGCTAAACCCCCAGCCCTTTTTAAATTTTTTATTTTGAAGTAAAGTCTCACTAAGTTGCCCAAGCTGGCCTTGAACTTTTGATCCTCCCTGTCTCTGCATCACCCCCTCCAAGTAGCTGGGATTACAGGTGTGTGCCACCACACCTGCTCCCTATCTCATCCTTTAACACTCAATTCACACTGAGTGTGTGCCACCTTCTTGGAGAGCCCTTCCTGAACACTGTCTAAAGATCCTCCTCTGTCCTCTCCACACACTCCTCCTTTACTCCGTCATATATGGAGTCAGATACTCTGCCTGTGTATTTCCTCAGTTAGCAAAAACACACCTCAGTAAGCCCAGACACTGCCAAATGTATTAGAGTGCAGGTGTCAGGAGGACAGAAGCTGTAACTGCCTTACAAATGACCTCCTCTTCTCAGTACCTGCCATAGCACCAGCAATAGAAAGCACTCACTTTTAACTAAATGGATGCATGATACATACACAATACTAACAAGCAGATGCAGAATTGAAAATGAGGTCTATCAGTGGGTGAGGCAGGAGATACCTGTCAGGGTTCTTATATCTCTTCCCTCTATAGGCCTTTTCATAATCAACAGGAACATTTTTCCTGCAGTAAACTTTAGCCAGAGGCTGTATCCTAAATGCCCTGGCATATAGGGAAGGGGCAAAAAGGCAAAGGAGCTTTCCATACCATTGCTTTGGTAATCTTCACCACAGTCTGCAAGGTAGATCTTATTATTTGCAGGATAAGCAAAGGAGGACCCACAGCTAGATCAGGCTCAATGAAAGGGCGTTCCTGATAAGGGGAGGCCTAGAAGTCTCTTCCTCTAGTAGAACCCCACACTTAGGACAGGGTATCCCTTCTCAATGGGGACATCTGTGCTGGATGGGAGGCCGTGGTGGGCTCATCCATTCAGCTCACCTTTAAAGATCATATACTGTGTGCCAGCCCTTTCAAAATTGATGAAGGGGCGATTGAAGCCTTCAGAAGCCTTCCAGCCAGAAATGAAGCAAACCACTACTCTGAAGGATGTCAAGCGATAGTTTTGAGTATGTATCGGCAGCCTGCCACAGAAGGTGAGGTGATACATAGCTCAGATCTGGGCTTCACCTTTCAGAATGATCGCAGTGTGAAAGGTATTCTGTGGAGTCCTGTAGCGCACAACTTGAGCAAATTACACACTTCCGATGGGGTTGAGATAAGACATCTGGAGTTAGGTGATCAATCTGTGGAGTGAGAAGAGAGACAAGACCTTAGAAAACACCGATATGAAGGAATCTGTGGAAGAACCAAAAGCCAGAGGCAGGAGGAAAACCAGAACGTTAGAGAAATCAGCAGAAGTGAAACTGAGTTAGAGTCATGGCCATGCCAAGCATGCTGGAGCTGTAAATAGTTGAGCAGATAAGGATTCCCAAGTGTCTGTGGCAACAAGGAATTTGCTGGAGATGTTGGCATGAGTGGAGGAGGTGGTGAGAGTTTATTCAGGGGTGAATGGGACTTGGGAATAGAATGAGGGTGTTTGGTTCTTTCTAGAAGTTGAGCTGTGAAAGGACAGATGGAGAAAGGGTTGTAAGGAACTTCAGGACTAGGGAGGGCTTTGTTCTGTGATGAATTTTGCAGAAGGAAGCTGAGCACGTCTACATGCTGTTGAGAAGGAGGCAGGAACAAAAAAAGAGTTGAAAACACACGACAGAGTGTTTTCTTAGGATGATTCATAAAGGATTGGGGGTAGGGGGGTGGGATTCATAATGGATAAGGAGTCCAGATGCAAGCTGGGCAGGATTTCAGAAGGTTTCGTGGAAGTGGCACACCTTAGTGTCAGGCAGAAGAGACCACTGCAGCAAGCCTCGTGCTTGAAAGAGCTCTGCCCACAGGCCTCTCCGCAGTGTGATGAGGAACAGCTAGGGAACTGAGGGAAGCACACACCGCCAAGTGCTTTATGCTCCAGAAAGTGGAGCCTCCAATCAACCACGAAAACAGCCCCAAACTGCCTCCATGCTCTATGTGGACCTTCTCAGCAGGGCTTGCTCCCAACACCAAGCAGGGAAGCCAGCTCACTATGAGGTCAACAGGTACTGCAACGAGACAAACTCATTACAGAAAACAACAGAGTTCCTCACGAATGTAGAGGCAAAAATTCTTAATAAAATTTTAGTAAATAGAAATCAATAATCTATAAAAAGGATAATTTTATCATGACCAAGTAGATTTGTCATAGAAATAGGTTTATCAAACATTTGAAAGTCATTAAACATATATATAAAACATACATATTATTCAATATATATTTATTCAAAATAACAATATATTATACATATTGATAATGTATTCATTATGTTAGCAAACAGAAAGCCCTACATCATCATTCAATAGCTATAGAAGGTACTTGAAAAATCCAGCATCCATTCCTGATAAAAAATAAAATGAAAATTATGAGCTAGAGATGTAGCTCAACTACAGATTCAATACACTTCCAGTCAAAATTCCAGCTGGCTTTTCTCTTTTTGTAAAAATTTAACAAATTGATTCTAAAATTCATATAAAAATTAAACGACCTAAATTAGCCAAATAACTTTGAAAAAGAGTAAAACTGGGGTGCTAACGTCAACCAATTCTGAGGTGATACTAATCGAGATAAGGAGGAACTGGAACTCTCAGACACTGCTGGTGGGAATGTAAAATGGACCACCACTCTGAAGAAAGACTTTGACAGCTTCTGACATACACTATCATATGATCCAGATATTCCACAACAAGATATTTACTCAAGAAAAAAAAAACTTATATAGAAATAAATGCTTGTGCATAAATATTCCCAGTACCTTCATTTATTGTGGCCCCAACCTGGAAACAATGGAGATGTTCATTAACAGGTTAAAACAAACCCAGTCTGTGGGCCAGGGATTTAGCTCAGTGGTTCTGCCGCCTACCTCACAAG